CAAACAGATGGGTTGAGTTCGTATGTGGGAACACTCGCGGGGTGGCGCGAGTGCTGTATGGGTCGGTGTGGTTAGTTTTGTGGTGGCTCACTCGCGCGCGATGTCGGGTGTGGGGGATGTCTGCTTACGTTAACTAGGCTTTGTCCTCCGTAGACCCGTTGATCGGCTTCCTCCAGGGCATTTTACGCCATGTCTGTGCGAATTAGGCGAAAACGCCGGTCCATGACGTGTCATAAGAGCATGAAGAAATTGACCGAGTGAGTTGGTCAGGTTGGCGCATGCTGTCTTCATAGATGTGGTCTTTGCGATGGTCCACACCAGTAGCTGAAGTCTTCGTTCGGACATTGCGCAGTCACACAGTCAGTGGCGTTCCTTCATTCGGTTTCTTGCACCTGTTTGTCAATTTTCGTTCGATTTGAGTAGTGGTTTGCCCCATTTTGTTCCTCATCCATGTAAACGATGTGCCTCAGCTTCTCCGTTCGCCTTGTGAGTTGTTTGCAGACGGCTTTAAGGTGTGGAGAGTAATCAATCCGCTCGATGACTGTGATCTGCTCCAGCGGGACCTCAACCGCCTCTTCATGTGGTCTGCAGAGGTCAGCCTTCTAGTCAAGTCGCAGTTCTTGAGGCTTGGTATCTGTGAGCACAGTCAAACATACACTAGGGCCGGTCAACTGTTGCACCCCACGCCCTTCGTAAGAGACTTCGGTGTACTCTCATGCGACGACCTAAAGTTCATGAGCAACACGAATAGGTCTTAGCAAAACGGTCTTCTTATGTTTTAAACGCTCAAACGCAGCTTCAACACTTGGTCCTAAGAGATTGCCTCTTCGTCTCATCATCATCATACATATTAGCTGGAGGTGGGGAACACCTCAGCTACTGTGCCGCAATACACAGAAAGAAGGAGAAGAAATGGAATTCAACTGGGGCAAGCCGGCTGAGCTACCGGTAACGGATGGGCATCGTTCCGGTAAGCTACAAGCCGGCTACTGTGCATCAAAAAAATTACTATGCAAAATTATATAAAGTCAAATATTGAGATCGTGATTGGAGGGGGAAGCTAAGAGGGATGGGGTGGGACAAAGGAACTCACAGCACGAACGCCACTGAGGTCGGCTCCTTGCCATATCAGCAAGTGTGTCCAACCAAACGTATTCATCGTCTTTCGGACTCCAACCAAGGAGCTGAGACGTTCCAACCGAGGCCAGCTCAGAAGTGAGGGCCTTCATTCCTCTGGACCAAGTCATCGCTTGGTCACCACTCCTCTTCTTCCATCCACACCCCCGGCGCGCAAACAACGCACGTCGCGGAAGTCGGTGGGCTGGCATGCGTAACACGTGGCCGAGCCATCGGAACCTGGTGCGTGAAATAACGGTGCTGAGCGGCTCAGTTCCTTTTCCTGGGCCATAAACAAGGCGTCGAACATGCTCGTAGCTCACGCGGTGAGCTAAATTACGAAGGCACCGGTGGTCGAACGTAACTAGCCTCTTCAGGTCCGCTGCTTTAAGCGGCCAGGTTTCACAGTCGTACAGTAGGGTCGAACGTACCGCTGCATTGTACACTCTACCCTTCAGGGCAAGAGTGATGTCGCGCCGGCGCCATAAGTGACGAAGGTTAGCAAAAGCGCCCCGAGCTTTTGCTGTACGGTTCGTGATCTCATCTTTAATCCCACGGGCGCTGATACAACTTCCCAGGTAGTTGAATTTTGGACGACTTCTAGCTGATCCCCACCAAGGGTCAGCGTAGGGGGCGGTCCAGGCTAATCTTGGAGGAACGCTTTGCACTTCGAGGGTGCGAAGCAAAGCCCGAAGTGACGGACAGCTTGTGCTAATCTGTCCAGTGCCGCTTGGCACATTTGTGAGCTGTCACAGATTAGGGCAATATCATCAGCATACTCTAAGTCAAGAAGTCGTTCTCCTGGGAGTATCTCCACACCTTCTAAGTCATGTCTTGTAAACGCGATTTCCATGGCTTCGTCAGAAGCGAATTTGAAGAGGAAAAGTGACAGCGGGCATGCTTGTCTCACACCACTGGAGATATTAAAGGGCGAAGACAACTTGCCGTAAGCTCTCACGCTGCCCTAGCTACGAGCATACAGTGCTCGGATAATATACGCATGTTTCTCAGGTACACCTTTCCTGAGTAGACAGTCCCAAAGTGCATGTCTATCCACCGAATCGAATGCACCTTTGATATCGATGAACACGACAACGGTGGGCCGCCAATATATGTGACGGTGCTCCAACAACTGACGCAAGGTGAAGATGTGGTCAATGTAGCCACGACCTCAACGAAATCCACCTTGCTCTTCACGAATCTGGCTTTCACGCGTGCTAGTCAGTCTGTGAATGATGACAGACGCAAGCAATTTGTAGGCGATGGAGATCAGACTGATTCCTCTATGGCTGCCGCATTCCGATCGTGAGCCTCCTTTGAAAATGGGGACTATGATGGAGCTGCTGCAATCGGTTGGGACAGTTTCCTGCTCCCACAGTTTGACTAGTAACTCGTGTAAATTAACCATAAGAGCAGGTCCCCCGAATTTGAAGAGGGCTGGAGGAAGGTCATCAGGTCCCGCGGCTTTATTTAACTTTAACAGTTTGATCTCACGTTCGACTTCTGAGCGAGAGGGCGGATCCAAAGGGACAGCCCAGGGAGTGGGGCGGTCAGTGGCCGGCGAGAAATCTAACAATTCCAACCGATTAAATTGCTTTTCAAAGTGCTCAGCCCAACGCTCCAAGCGTTTTGATAAGTTGTGGATAGGCTGTTTACTCTCGGCACAAATTGTTTCACTAACACCAGGTCTCCTGCTGCCCGTTTCCCGTATCAGACGGGATAACTTACGATGGTTATCAAGGGCAGCGGCCATTTCCATCTCTGTTGCACGATGAGACCACCAGGATTCGCGGTCTCTCTTCAGGCTAGCACGTTTTGCCCAGAGCTCTTTGCGAGTTTCATTGTGTTTACTTCCAGCCGGAATATGCCGGCGAACATCGATAAGTTCCAGAGACTGTGAAGAGACCCAGTGTCCATGTTGGCGATTAGACATATCTCATGAGGATTTTCCTGCTGCTAGTAAGGTCTAGTGAATATGAGACCAGTGAGCGTTTATCCAACACGCATGACAGCGGACTTTGATACTCATTCAGAACAACTGGCTTTGCCAGTTGGCTGGTTTCAGTGCGCTCACAACGTCGTCGTGGTCGTCCGCCAAAGCGCATCCGCAGGTCAGCACATACAAGTGCATGGTCGGTGTCCATACCTGTGCTCCAAATCGAGCGACAGTTCTGGACGCCGCCTCTCCTCTTCGTCTCAAGTATACAAAGAATGCTAGAGTACGGCTCATCTGCATACTGTCCTCTCACTCGGGGTGAGGTTGAAAGGATTGGGCGGATACAGCATGTGGCCACCGGGCTGATCCCCAATTTACGAGGTGTGCCGTATGGAGACCGGTGTAAGAGACCAGCGCTTTACGCCCTAGCTTATCGTCGATTGCGATTTGGTGTCATCATCACGCACCGAGATGTAACATCTCAGTGATTGCCCCATGTGGGCCAGCTGCTGTGTTTGCGCACACAAAGCAGCGCACGAGGACACCGGTACAACCTTCTAGTATTGGATTTGAAGCGAGTCTCCTACCATCTTTGTTTCGAACTGAGAGCGGTGAATGTATGGATCAACCTCCCGCAGTTGAGGTAAACTCGGTGTCGGAATTCAAGAATTTCCTGAACAAACACTGCCTATGTCGGATCTTTGTATCTGAGTGATATTAGCTGAGGGTACACAAAGATATCTCTTCTTGCTGCTTCAAATCACTAATCGGTAATCTGATTACTCCATCTTCTCTTCGTTCTATTTGCATTCAACCTTGGTTTTTGCCATTGTTATTTATTATTATTATTCTTGCGACGTGAGTCGTGGCAATTTCGGTTCTCGGATCCTGATTGTTCAACTGAACTGAATTGCATCGATTGATTTACTTCAATCTTATGCGGCTGTTCTGGTCACGAGCGCAATTAATACCTTTCAGTTACTTGGATGGGATGTTTATTTTGTCTATTTACTCTTGAATTGTACCGTATCTCTTACTCCTTTGAATCGCCTATTTTAAGCATGGTCATACTAGAGTGAACGCATACGCGGACGCAAACAACGAGTTTTTCTTTCTAGTTTTGGGATCTGATTGTCCGACAGGGTCACGCAGGTCCAGAGAAGGCACATGTTAATCTGGCGATTAGACGGTCTAGATTTTGACTCACAAGTTATAACATCCATTAAATTTATGTTGCACGGGTATACACCATTATTTCATGAGCGTGGAAGCTTTTTGCCTAAACTTTGAGCGGCACATCCTTTACATCTTGTTATCGCAATTTCTACACTCTTACTCATGTACCTTTGCCGCTTTTGTGCTTTCAGGTTTTCGCCCACGCCGGACTATTGTCCTGGCTAGTTGGGATGGTGAAGAACTCTCATTGCTGGGTTCAACTCATATGGTCGAGGAACGGAACAACGAATTGAGGCAACGGGCCGTTGCTTACATTAATACCGATTGTCCGATTAAAGGGGGGTCGAAGTTTCGTGCACGCACTGACGAGCTACTCGCGGATGTATTATTTTTGGCTAGTCGTTTTGTCAAGGTTGACCCCCCATTGAATACGAACACTCTCTTTGATGAGTGGCTCGCTCAGAATGAAGAGCCTTCCCAGTCTGAACCTCGGTGAGTACAAGGTTTTGTGTGTGGAATTTCAACCTCGTGAACACATTACTCGATGCTCCACTTTCCAACCCATCGTAATCGTATTCTCGTGTATGCAGACCAGCTTGGTCGCACAGCGCACTGAGCGGGTCACAAAGTCTTGCAAGATGCGAATCACTCCTCGACTCACGTTACTGTTAAAACCATTGTTATCCGCCAAACAAGGCTTTAGTTACCTCTTACACTGCATGCTAGGGGCCTTTTCGTCTCGTTTCCACCTCATTCTGTGCTTAAATGTGAGACACCGCGGGCGATTCTCTCATGGACCTTTGCTTTACATTTTCGGCTACTCTTTTCACCTTTTGCGTCCACGTGGATTCATGTGGTATCATCGGATTATTTTTGGCAAATTAAAGACGCCATCAACCAGTCAAACCACACTATGTATGACTTGCGTGCAAAATTTCGGTTATCAATTTGCCACTCGCACCAAGGTAACCATTCATGCCACCCGAGTGATTTTGTTCTTCCAATAGTATATCACCTACCTAAACTCCTCGTCACTCTTCTATCCCAATCATAGAGATGTCGACATAAGCAGCTCAAATGGCACATTTGTAGATAAACCCATCACTGTCAGCATAGCTCCATGTCACCCCTACAGTAGTAGTTGATCGATGCTAAATCATCGACATGCGTTCCAATCCAAAAGTACCCTGGCTATCTCGTTCACGTCCACCGATTACTAACGTCTCATTACCATGCACGTAATCCCCTATTAATCCCATAACACGAATCACTTAGTATTCGCGCAATACATGTAGCCAGTTGCTTTATCTACGAAACCACTTAATCGACTGCTTCCCGCTGTTGGTCTTTAATGCAAATGACGCGCCAGCACCCGGTGAACTTTACAACGCGCGAAGAAAAAAATAACGGCCAGGATAATTACTAATAGTATATGTTAAACGTTGAAGATTGTACAACACATTGTCAAGTCAAGTCAGTATAAGTTTCATGTACCCCAGAGTGTACATTTTCAAGACTTTACAGTGTCCACTACGGATGTTTTAAAGTAATACTTAAAAGCGCAAAGTTGTACAACTGAGTACAATGGCATAAAAGAGTTTCTGTCAATCAAATAAACGATCTCAGATCTCCATTCGATCCGGACGAGGATTCCTTAAATTACGGAACCCCTTCTGGTAACTTCGCGCGATTCGCACAGTATCTCAAAGTCCATTTTCAGAAAACGGCAGGGACAGCGTTAGTGACCTTGTGACTGCTATAACAGAAGAAAATGTCTAGCAGCTCAGTGGAAACTGATAGTTCCCCAGCAGATATAGTAAGATCGATGTTGCAATGCCAAGACAAAGGCCGATTTACAGGCCACACCAAGTAACACGTTTTCTGCTTTCATTATTCATTGGGCCTCAAAAATGGTCCCAGGATAGAGACCAAACATGGTAATCATGCTACCAAAAACTTGCCTTTCTGACAATTGAGCTGACTATATTTGACTCGCCTGATGGCCTCTTGTGGCGAGTTGGATGAAACCACAATTTTATATGGCGTCGAATGTCTGTATCTGCGGCTCAATCACGTACGTGGCCCGAGATCATGTCCTCGGAATTGGTTGCAATTTGAGTATTTTAAAATAATGTATACACCTTGGTAGGGCCTTCAAACATGGCCGCGCTCTTTTGTTCCATCTGCAGAATTACTTAAGCTTATGCGTTTGTTCTTTTTCCACTTAGTCCATACAATCTTCAAGGTCATGACCTATACTCGCTGTATTTTAAAATTCCTGTGTTGCTACTGCACTGAACATCACGGTTTTTCACGGTTAAGCCTTAAAAAATAAACTGAAGCGTATATACAAGAAGAACACTAATTATACTAACAAGCATCGTGCTGGATGGTGGGTTGCTCTACGGAAGAAAGCATTGCGTAGTATGAGTATACCCATTATAATAAGCTCAAATGTCCCATCAGTTATTGGCAAAAGGGATGAGATTAAAATCAAAGTTCGCTGTCGTGAATCCTCTAAGCTTGGCGTAATTATGCTTCGAGAGACCTGGCTCCATGAAGATGTTGTCGATGAG